CATCCCCATCCCCACCACCATGTGTATCTGCCAAGGAGAAGTTCCTGCTGGAGATTCTGGGAACCCTGACTAAGAAATTAAGAGTTTTCATGCTGAGTTACATGGAGACTCACATGGTGATTCCCAAAATACCCACAGCTTTTCAACATATTCTTTCCCTGGTGAAAATTTCTGCTTCTGCATTGCCACCCACCAGCAAATTGCACAACCATGCTATCAGCAATATGTCTGGGACAATTTAGACAGCAATGACATTGCAACAGTGGAAGGTTTGTCATGATTTCAGATGAGTCATTTAGGAAACAGCACTTTCAGGTGCATGCAGAAATCAGCCGAATGTTTGCAGGTCTAGGGAAACAGTTACCTCCTAGGGTGCCACCGTCAAGCAGAGACATTAAGCCAGGCTGTGTGGCTCTCCTGTGGATGTGTAAATGGAAGTGCACACATAGCTGATATAAGATCCAGACATATTTACATCCTTGATGTGCAGAGGAAGACATGGTTCCCCTACAGTCCCTCCATGAAGTCATTCCCTGGGGGGGAGCTTCCTGGAGCAAGCAGATGCATCCACACAGGAACATGGTAAATCAAAGAAATAAATCTTATTTTGTGTGACTGTTCTGGTCCAAAATATTAAAAATAATGTGATGACCACATTGCCCCAAAGCAGTGCCACAGGTTCTGGCCCTCAGTATGTTTGAATCAACACAACTGCTGAAGTTTGAGCTGGGAAGGTTTCATATCTTTTTCATGCAGGGTGAACAAAGGTGCTGACTTTTGTTGAGATCCCATAGTGACATTTCTAAAGGTATTTCCTATTCCTTGGACAGTTGCTAGGGTGCATAATAATGCTCATTTGTATTCAAATCAATCAAAATGAGACATACAGCATGACTTACAGTTTCTGCTTGAAAGAGACTTTATGAATGGAACCTTGACATTATGTGTTCACTACCCCTCCTTCTCTTCACCCTAGGTAGCCCAAGTTTGTCAGTTTTCTGGGCATATTGTATATTCTGGCTTTGATTCATTTATAATCTCAGCAGCTCAAGGCAATGTCAAACCTAGTTTAGCTGTCCACTTAAAGTGGTTTTATGGCTGCTGTGCACCTCTGAAGATTTGCAAGCCAGCAGTGTGTACCACTAAATCAACTTTTGTCAGTTCTACCAGGCTTTTGGAGAGAACAGGAAGGATGCTATTGCTACTGCTTTACTTCTCAACCTTTGGTGTTCTTAAGAGCCTTTTGTCATTCTGAAGGTGTGCCCAAATGGTGGAGTTTTAATGCAGGATTTATTACCCCTCTTCACTGTTTTTGTTCTGTCTTGCGGTTTATTAAAGTGTATCGAGTTTGAAACAGCCACCTCTGTATAAATCAAGTTGTATAAATAAATCATCTTATACTGGAGGTACATAATATTTAGGGTTTGTCCACAAAGGAAAATGTTCTGATTTAAGTGGGAATATTAACTGGAAATGCAGTAGCTAATGTACCTCCAGAGCTTGAATGGATGCTCCCATTCTGTACCAAGAGCTTCCTTGTGCCTTTTATTATGAAGTTAACTGGTAAATCAGCATAAATTTTTCACTTATCAATGAATGTGTGAATAAAACATAGGCTGGGACCTTTTATTGTCTCTGTCTGCAGCATGAGTTCAATCTTGTCCAAACCTCAGTAGGATGTGGCTGACATTCATGGCCACATGTGATACCTCTTAAAAACCCCCTCAGATTGGTGGACTTAGGATGCACATGGAAGCTTCTTTTTATTTTCATTTTAAGAATGACTGCCATTGAATTTTTTGTTCTCACTGGGACGCATTTGCCATCTTCATGCCACTCATCAAAAAGGCACAAACTCTATTTCATTCAGGAGAGAAGAAGTTTAGTCTCCCCAGAAATATGAAAAGAGTCGGGCTGGAAATTAATTTCTTCCTCACAGGAATGCCACAATATCACTTGTAGGATACAACTGTCAGTGCTCTCTACTACCAAGCTGTGGTGTCTCTGCTATTTTCAGATTTCACAGTGGCCAGCTACCTGTGGCTATAGGGCTATTGGGCTATCAGCAACTGCTACAGCTCTGCTGTGAACATCTCTTTTGCACTTGAAGAAATCACAAGGAGACATGAAAACTCCAGCTACAAGCTGAAGCTCATTTCCAATCAGTCACATTTTTAAGCCAGAAATCTGGATGTGAGGTTCCAGCTCTTCAGAACATGCTCACAGCAAAACAAAGCAGATGGAGAATTGCTGCCCTAGTGTTTTGAGTGAGGAGCTGTAACTGATTTTGGCCTTTTCCTTGAAAAAGCTTTCAATTACACTAAAATATTCCTCTTTCTAGTGCTGCTGACTCTTCTCCCATGACTCTTGATTCAGCTGAACCATAAGGTTCATAGTAATGAAAGGCATCTTTTTACTCTGCCAATATCATTGCTTATTTTATCTCTACAGCTCACACTAGGTCCTTGAATGAACTGAAAAAAAAACCCATCCCTGCTGTTATCTATGTTGGGCAGAAATGGACGGAAAACCTGTGGTATTGCTCTGAGTAGCACTGTATTTCCACACAGCTGAGATGCACTGCTAGGAACACGCTGCTTTCAGTATCCCTTCATCTCATCCCATAAAATAAATGGGGGATTCGCAGCTTGTCCCAGTTCCTGGGAGGTGTTCATCACTTTCAACTATATGGGCAATGTAGCACCTGCAGGTGACCTCTCCCATGGTGATGTCAGCAAAAGGGCAACTACTGTAGGGAACCCACTTTAGCAGGGGTGTTGGACTTGATGATCTCCAGAGGTTCCTTCTTCTAACCCCTACAATTCTGTGTTTCTGTGATTTTGCGACTTCAACTTTTCTAAGCAGGATGCTTTCCAGAGCTGCTGGAGCTTTTGTCACCCTATGAGCACAAGTTTGCATCTCACATGTTGCCTTCTCAAAGCTCAAGTTCAAGCATGCAGGCTTTTGCAGCCTTGAAGCAGAAATAGAAAAAGTAAAACCGCAGGCTCCCCGTTGGTTTCTGCCCTGGGCAGATAAGGAGGGTACTCCTGTAAAATGGCCAAAGGCACTGCCATGACTCAGTGCAAAACTGCTGCAGATAAAATAAGCTACGCTGCTTAGAAAAAGAGTGAGCCTTACAGAAGCCCCAGAAAAATGGAACATTTGAAGTGAACAATAGCTTAATGTTATTACTATAATTATTGTTTTGTGTTGTGCCTGAACTGCAGAGCCTTCCTGCAGGATTGGAGATCTGTTGGTACTGTTAATGCATGAAATGAAGAGACAGCTCATGCTTTCACAGGGCTCTCAGTTTGTGCACTGGGGTTGAAAGAAGAAGAGGAAGGGAGGTAGAAGGCAGAACATTTAAGTGTTGGTAGTGTGAAGACGAATGTCAAGACTCATCTGGGAAACAGAAAGGACATTCTTGGACACAAAAGGGACAAGGGAGAGCACAATAGCATGCTGTCATGTCAGTCAGATCACAAAATATTTAATTCATTTTTTCCTGAAAAGCCAAACACAGCACCCAGGGTTTTTCATTGAAGATGCAGAGGGGCTCCTGAATGACACTGACTTTCCACAGGATTTGGACTCCCAGCTGCTTTTGTCCAAGCAGGGCTGTACGATCACTTCACAACTCCACTGTCTTCACATCACATCATCCCTTTTGCTGGCTGAATATGGCCTCTCTTGGAGAGACAGCATCCATCTGGGGGGAGGGAAGAAAAACCCAATCACAAAAAAAATGCACGACAAACAGCAGTTGTTCAATTTCAGATGGGCACTAGCAGCATATACAGAAGTCCCCAAGGAAATGTTTGAGTGGATTTGAGTGAGGAGAATGGACGTCATCACCTGGCTTTCCTGTTCCTACAGAGCAGCAACGCAGCAGAAGCTCCAGGGGGAGATGAGGTTCATGCTGCTGCCAATGCCCCTGGCGTTGTATTTTCAGAGGGCAGCCTGCAGTAGATGGCTGGCAGTACCCAAAAGGGGTCCTGACACTCTGCAGGGTGCACTGCTTCTCAGGCTGTCTCATATCTATGTCTCTCAGTGCTTAATTTGTCCCCATCTTTCCTCTGGCCGTTGCCATGGAAAGTTTTTTTAGCATTTAGGCTGTCAACTGTATGGAGATTACAAGGAGGGAAGAAAATAACCCAGCGGATGATTACATTCAGATCTGCTAAAAAAATATATACATCTTTCCTCCTAAAATCAGCATTTTACAGTACTGAGGACACTTTTAATCCTCATGCAGAAAAAAATAATAAATAAATAACAATAAAAAACAGTCCAAGATAAGACAACTCTTAACCAGAGATAAGAGTTTTCTGACCCTAGAAACAAAAAACAGGATGTCATCTTGATCTCAGCTGAGAGAAGCCTTTGCCAAGGCAGTAGGACCAAAGGGCAAGCGCAGAGATTTTTGCAAGGGGACAAGACCAAAGAATAAGAATTTATGCTTTTGTTGCCACCAAGTGTTATGTGACAGTTTGGTGGAAGAGACATATCCTACTAGTGGCTGAGTTTAGCTGTACGGGAGAGGGAATGGAGATTAGAGTAACTGCAGAATCTTGTGTAATGCCGTTACTGCTCTTCACCTGCTCTTCTTTGCTGGGGTCCTCTAAAGCTCAAACCACAGCTTTGATCACCAGACTCAGATCCACAAGATCAACATTTCACACTGCATCCTTTCTTAGCATGGCCCCATTAAATGTGACACAAGTATGGGAGTTGTATTGTGCTGCTACCAAAACTTAAAATACAAAATTTTCCCTTTCCCTGTGTGAAATGAGTTTGCCTTGGGATGTCTGTCAATCATGGTTCTAGCTGCTAGCAATCATTTATGCTCTGTAACTACTATTTCTTTAATATTACCACTGTTTCTTTAAGAAATAATCTGTGTACAGTTAAGGTTGTTTTGTCTATTTTTTCTTAAAGATTGGAAAATGGTATTTTTTTGTTTCTGTGTTTAACCTTCCCTTTCTCTAACCCACCTTCAGGTATCTCCATGCCTATCCCAGTCTTTGGACTACAAGATGACTCCAAAGTGTTTAAGAAAGACCACTGCCTTCTTGCAGATGAGAATTTTGTCCTAGTAGGCTCCTTTGCAGCATTCTTCATCCCTCTAACCATCATGGTGGTCACTTATTTTTTAACTATCAAGTCGTTGCAGAAAGAAGCCATGCTGTGCGTGAATGACGTTGGCCCAAAGACCAGGTTTGCTTCTTTTAGTTTCCTCCCTCAGAGCTCCCTTTCTTCAGAGAAACTCTTCCAGCGTTCTTTGAACAGGGACCTGGGGACCTCTGGGAGGAGAACCATGCAATCCATCAGCAATGAGCAGAAGGCTTCCAAGGTCCTTGGCATTGTCTTTTTTCTGTTTGTTGTGATGTGGTGCCCGTTTTTCATCACCAATGTGATGGCTGTAATTTGTAAGGAGTCGTGCAGTGAAGAAGTCATTGGTGGGCTACTTAACATATTCGTTTGGATTGGGTACCTTTCTTCAGCTGTCAACCCACTCGTATATACGTTGTTCAATAAGACGTACCGCTCAGCCTTCTCTCGTTACATTCAGTGTCGCTACAAGGAGGAGAAGAAACCTTTCCAGCTGATTTTAGTGAATACTATCCCAGCGCTTGCGTATAATTCTAGCCAGCTCCACCTGGCTCAAATGAAGAGTTTGAAAAAAGAGGCAAAATTGATGACTAAGGATTATTCGATGGTCACGATAGGGATACGCCATGTGGATGGTACCTCAAAGGGAAGCATCAGTCCAGGGAACGAAAAGGTCAGCGGCGTGTGACTCTACCAGCTCTTGGCAGCTGCCATGGCAACTCCAATGTACACTGAGAATTTCATCTCGTGGTGAGATGCCCTGAGAGTGCAAGAATATCAGCCCTGTTTGAGAGACCCTCCAGTAACATCACATACGCCTCATGTTATACTGTTGATGAAAAGCAGGGTGGAATGGTATCAAATGTGCAATTTTTTTTCATACAGTACTTTGGCTGTTTTAAGCACAGGCTTTATTAAACTTATTTTTTTAATAATATAAGGGATATATTTCTTAAAGAAAAAAAAAAAATGCAATTTCTGGTATTATAATTATGGGCTGCAAAGAAATCTACGCATTTCTTCTCTCTTTGCAAATGAAAGCTAAGCTGTCCTTTGATTTCCTTGCAGGGTAGGCTCCAGCTAGTTCATCTTCCTGCAATGGGATTTTCTTACCATTAACTGAATGAGCACTTTATGGAACTTTAAATAAAATGATGGTTAATTTACTAATATATATTTAAAATACATTTTAAAGCATTAAAGAAAAATCTATTAAAACCTGTATAGATGAATTATATAGAAATTTTGGTAACTGTTTTTATGGCTATTTTTTTCTTCCAAGTGACCATTCTGAAATGTTAATGGACTTTTCCACCGCTTGTTCTGAGTTCAAATTTGCAGTCTTCAGAAGTAAATTATACTTGAATGATCCCTTGTTTCTATCACCATTCTTAATCTTCTATTTCACGTCTTGTACTTTATTTCCATTCTAAAATTTCATCTGTTCTAATATAAAACTTCAAAGTAATATTTTCAAAAGTCATTACTGGACTTGATTCTCTGCTCCTTCCCACTGCTATTGACAGGGAAATGAAGTGAGAGAAGAGTGGAAAATCAAGCACAGGACTGCTAAGTAATTTCAAGAATGATTCCATGCCTCTGCTTGATTCCAGCAGAGCCTGATTTAAGTAATGTCTGTGAAAGTTTTGCATGAGAAAATCCTTTAGTGAAAGGTTTCAGCAGATTCCCTCTCACCATTTCTCTTTGGTTAAAAAGGCCATTATGAAGGTGTCCTTCTGGATTTCTTCTAGTGCTCATAGAGTCAGAATTTTTCAAAACCTGTTAATTCTTCAAAATTTTTTCCCTGATTTCGCTGTTTTGCTGTTATGGTAGATTGCTCAGGAATGATAGGTAGCTTGCACTACTAGGACTCAGCCTTAATTAAATATGTTTGGGCAAATTGGGCCCACTTGAAAATACTAGGACTTATCAAGAGCACCATATTTCACTTGCACAGCTCCAAGGGCAGAACGCATTACATAAAGAGCATCAAATACATTTTCTGGAAGAATGTTGTCTGGTGACTTTCAGGCATCATGGACATTTGAATTAAAGTTAGGAGGACTGTGCTGGAGAGCAGAAACACAAATGTTGCATCAAAACGTCAGTCCAAGCATTTGATTCATTACATGAACTTTACTGTCATAAGTAGGATGCATTCTAGTTTCAGATCCTGTCCAATCTGTAAAAATAGCACTACCTATCCAGAAGCCAAACTCCAATGCCTTCATCATTTAACAAGTCCTCCTCTTGAAGCTGATCAGTTTCCATAGAAGAATTAAATATCCACTAGGGTAAAGAAGGGGAGATAAACAAATCTTATTCATCCAGCAGGGTCTGGTTCAGAAAAGGAAGACCTTCAATTTAAAATATTGAATTCTGTGGTAAAAGAAGACTTAGACCTTGAGTGGTTGTTCAGTTGATTTCCAAGCAGCCACTTTCTTTATTCTTCTACCTGTTACCAGTAAGATAACTAAATCTGATGGGGTTTGGGGGCAGTTTCCTCCATAGAATATGGATAGGATGGGATAGGTCACAGCATGTCATTCATGGGCATGTGGCCATTAATGGGTTTTGGGTTACCACCCAAAAACTGGGACCTTTGGATCCCATGACAAATCAACTGGTACACCATATATTGTGCTCACCAAGATGATTGATGCAAATACTTGGACACCCGAATCAAAGCAAAAGAGCTTTAGCAGAAGGAAAAATCAGCTCACTGTTTCTCCCTCCCTATTCCATCCCATTTCCATCTTGCACAACAAGAGGGGTGCAAGCCCATAGCTCCACACAGGCAGAGAAGGGATTTCAGGGGGAATCTGCAAAACATAGCTGATCACAAGGACAGCTACGAAGCAGGTGGGAACTGTGGGACTTTCCACTGTTTAAGAAGTTTCATACAGACCCTAAATCAGCAGGTTTGAGCCATCTCTTTTACACTATCCAGCCAGTATCACTCCGGGGTACCCCACAGAACATGGTGTTCAGAACCTCCTGGTGCCCAGACATCTCCTCTCTGCAAAAAAGATGCAAAAAAGATGGTTTTGAGGATTCACTCTTGAGAACTCCAGGGGAAAGGTAGGGAGCAATAAAACCTAAGTTCTGTGAGTAGGGGGCTCTGGATTTGGCACCAAACCAGATTGCCTTCAAATGTGGAATACTGATCAAAGGACCCCAAGAAGGAGGAGAAAGGAAACACAGGTGCTACTAAAAGTGGAGGGAAATGCTACCTTTAGTGCAATTCCTTCCAATTTTGTGGCATTTCTTTCAAGTCCTTTCAAGAGAAATAAGCGTAAAGGACAAAGAGCCCTTGTCCTGTTGCCCATCTGTGCCATGGAGCAGAGCTGGCCTGCGTACCATAAAATGTATACGGGCACCCTGCACTTTTCCACAGCTCAGTTCTTCCAGATCTCCTGTTGCTGTTCAGCACAGTCTCCCCTACTCAGCTGCTCTTAATAAGCTGCTGCTGAACATTTCACATCCACTGCTGATGCTCTCTGCTTACCATCTGCATTTCACCCACATGGCAGTGTAAATCAGCCTGCCATCTCTCTCTCCTTTCACCTTCTGTTCCTCTTTCACAATGTGAAATTGCTCAGGTTGCAAATACTGACAGGGAATGTTTCAATGCAAACAGAAAGGGTTTCAATTACTTGCTTGATGTTTCATTAAAACTCTGAACATGAAATCCTTTCCCACTTATTAAAACAAAACCTGTGTTTGGGGCCTAAGAGACTTGACAGTTTTTCTTTAATTAACAGCTGGAGGCAACATAACATTTATTTTTGGTTAGAAGTGGGGATTTTTGATGCCAGAGATTATAACACTGCTAGCACTCAGATAGATGGCTTCATTGAGAGAGCAGCGGCTTCTGCCTAAGAAACCTCTCTAAGCCAGGAATGTGCAACAAATAAAACCATAATCCATATCTTATGAAGATATCTGACAGTTTTGGAAGGACCGATTCTGCCACTTTGCACCAAAATTTTAATAGATTTTTTTCTGTGGCTTGCCTTAGGGATGATGACAGAGTCAATGTCTGAATTTGTAACACCCACCGTGCCAGTTCTGCAGGAGGCTGTTAATCAGGAAATGGCAATGATAAGTCATTATACTGCTGCCAGATCTCAAAGTTCAGCCACTTTCAACCAGAATTTGTTGATAGGCTTGGGATGAACACTACTGTTTGATATGACCAGCTTCAGAGCAACAACTCCATCTTGTAAAAAAAGTGAGTGTTTTCATTATGCATCAGACTGGAATGGAAATTGTGAAAATTTCCAGGAAAAAAGAAGAAAAGAAAAGAGACATTCACATTGACTAGATCAGAGGTCAGGGCCTTCCCCTGCCATACAGGAAAAGCATGATGAGTCAGTCTGTCACATCCACGTCCAACAGAACTGCTTCATCTGAAAAATGCTTTAACTGACAATTTTTCAAGCAGTTTTACACTTTATTACTGCTGAGACTGCATCTGAGAAATGCCCAAAGACATAAAGCTCACCATGTATCTCCTAAGCTGGTGTGCATACTTTATATACTTCAGGGTAAAGCATCCTAAGTATCCATCCCATCCAGCCGATCATGCACTGTACCTATGTAATTATTGGCAAATGGTGAGATGCATTCTATTTTGAATACCTGTATCTTTGCTTATGTAAATACATAGAGAAAAATGTTTGCTGTATTTTGTAAATGCTAATGTAAAACGGTGTTCTAAAGCTTTATTGTTTTGCCAGATCCCACTGCTCATAAAGCAGATTAAAATATTCAAATTCCATCAGTTGTTTTATAAACTGGAGGTTTGTCTTAAATAGTAATTTTCATAAAATCATAATATGGCCTGGGTTGAAAAGGACCACAGTGATCATCAAGTTTCAACCTCCCTGCTATGTGCAGAGTCTCCAACCACCAGACCAGGCTGCTTAGAGCCACATCCAGCCTGGAATTTTAGTTGGGTTTAATCACCCCACATATGTACATAGTATAATATCTGCTGAAAGTTAAGGTCATGTTAAAGCACTTGCTGAACTGGCAAAGACAAGAAACATGTTGTGGAATTTAACTCCATCTCAGTACTACAGTCCACAATGAGCCATTGCAATCATTCTTTTTTCTAAAATAGCACTCTTGATGAAAAAGGATGCATTCTTTGGACAAATACATATAGCTTAAAATGTTGAGTCTCAGAAACAGCATAATAGTAATAAACCAATTAGATAAATTTCCCCAAAATGTCAGACAGTGAGATTAAAATTAATAAACATCATATACTAATAGCATTACGACACTTTGCAAACATAAATAACAGCTGAGTCACAGAATCACAGTGCCATCTATTGGTAATATTTCCTTTTTCATAGAGAGTATTATAACAAAAACTCAAATTGGACTTTACTGTGACATGATTTTTTCCATGGTAATCCCAGAACAAATGTATTCCTCCAACCTGATCTTATGGCATACATGCTCTCATTTACAACTGCAATATATATTAGACTAGTAAAGCTGGTAATAAGAAGTCTCCTTCAAACCTAGATTAGTCCTAATGATTCATCAAGCTTTAAAATGTGTAAAAGAGAGCATAGAAAGACATCTTGTTTTTCCAGAAGTTATCTAACAGAGGTGAGCACTATTTTAGTTACAAACCTGTGAGGCACCATAGAGTGAAATGCGCCTGGTAAATTCCTGGCACATTACCACTCATTTTTGTCTCTGTAGTACTAATCTACTGGACATAGGCTCCAAGATATGATCCATAGTCATATTAATTGGAAAACTCACCGCCACATTTACCTGTTCTGACAATACTTTGCACTGACCCTCGAAATAGAAGAAATCCACCTTATCCATCTGGCACTCCAAGTTCTGAAAGCAAAGAAGATATTTGGAAAAGAGGTTATTTGGCCTTCAGGTTTACAGTATGATCTTCTGAGGCTGCTTGAAATATGGCAAAAGTGTATTTGTAAATTTTATATCATGCAGTGACATTCCTTGATTTAATCGTATTCTGTTCAGTATTGGTATTTGTAAATTAATCAAAGACATACCATGTTATTTGACCCCAAAATAGCTCTAGCAGTGGTTCTGCAAACCACAATGACTTCCAGTGAGCATTATTTAACCACACACATTCATCATTTTT